TGCCCCTTGAAGAAACAGGCTCATAGTTTGGGAGTGCTTCAGGATCCATCTTTCTCCCTGGAAGTCCAGGTGACCTCAGCAGTTTGGAGCACTCATGCCCAAATTCAGCTGCTATGGCAACCATGCCCATTCCTGAATATGGATTAATTAGCCAGTGCGGGACACGCATTGATAAGCTCACCATTACACCACTACATTACTCCACTATGAGCCATTGTGCCTGTTTGCAAGCTGTAGATGGCACAGAAAAAATAGCCACTAGGGTGTTAGGTGGGGCAGTCAGTCAAATACACCCTGCCCATGTGTTAAAATAAGTCTCCTACTCGCCTATTAGCTGCTGAGCCATAGTCAAGGTTCTGAACAACTGGGACCAGGGCACCTAGCAGCCCACCTTCCTATATTCACGACCCATTAAGAACTTAGCAGAAGGCCATATAGGTCATTCCTTGACAAACAGAATGTTGCCAAATTTCGCCATTTTCAGTCATGGCACTCATCCACTGGAATGTCCTCCCCCATGCTGTTTGGGAGGCAGAAAATGTGCCGAATTTCAACTGAAATACCCTGAAAACTCTTTATCCAAGCTTCCCCTAGGTTGTAACTGATACCCTGCTTCTGCTCTCTTAAATTGTTTTTTAATTGTTTGTGCTATTTATTTCTGTTGTACTTGTAATTCGTTACTGAATATTCCAATAGTGATTTTAATCTTTTAGAATGCAAAATATGTGACTATTTGATCATAACAAGCAGTAGTATTATTAATAGAAAGAATTAATGAAACAGTCTTAGAATGAAAATGAATTTGCTAATTAATATTTAAACATCTTAATGCTGGAATAATATGTGAATGTACGATTTCAACCTTGGGCTAGAGTTCAAGAATTCTGTATGAAGTCTGCAGCTCTGGTTTAATTAATTCTACAGTTCAGAACCATTTTATCCTCTATACCCTGCTATATTTTATTGACAAGTAAAGTCAGATAGATTGGCATTATATTACATTTAATTAGTACTGAACCTAATTAATTTGATCACAGGCCTGATTTTAATTAAGCAGGTAGGCAGATCAACAGGCTTCAGTTCAAAATATTCATGGTTTTAAAGATAATGTTCCTACTCAAGTAATCTGCTGAATTAGAGCTACAGACTGTGTTACTGTTTGCTTAGCAGGAGAGGATGAACAGAAAAATCTCATCAGATGCTAAAATATAGAGCTTAAAAGAAAACTGTTTTGTGCAGTGTGTTGGTTATTTAATTTGACATGCATATTGCCAAGCATTTTAAATAATTCATAGGATGATTGCTAGAGGGCCCAACATAGTTCTGAGATATTTTACGGTCTCTTGGCCACACTTCTTTCTCTCCAGAAAAAGCTCAATCTGGATTGTGCTTTTTTGAGCCAACTTGAAAAAAGTTGTTTTCCAAACAATCTTCAAAGTGGTGGCTTATCGTGAATAGGGAGATCCTGAACATCTAGTATTTTTAATCTGTTAAGTCAAGAAACGCCATTGCAGTGTGGGCCACACATCACTGGGAAATATGAGGACTTGTTCACAGTGAGAACTTGAAGCAAGGACTTCAATGAATTCTGACTTGGAAGAAATTAAATATGTCAGAGAGACAGGAAGCATCACAGAGAGTTCCAAGTGATGCTGCGGCTGGAAGCCAGGCAAACTTGCCTGCATGCTCCTCCAACAAGCAGAGGATTGTGAATGACCCTGAAGCATAGTTTTGTTTCCCCTTAGACTGTTTAGTTCTACCTACACTATGATGGAGACTGTCTCGTTTAAAGGGTCCTGCTCTGCTTTGGAAGCCTCCTGCTGCCATACAAAGTAGTAGCTATCATGTAGTTGTATCTTAACGGCTGGAGTTCTTAAACTGACAATGGGAATGCACAAAACATGTATGTTTTGTACATACAGGAGCTCTTCCCTGGGCCTCCCAGAATTTCATCCTAAGGAGGTGAAAACCTCATTACAATTCTCTGTAGTCAAGCCCTTTCCCCATTTGGATAACTCAGGATCCTTCATCTAGAAGGATGAGGGATTGGGATGCTGGACCATGACACCATTATCTTGTATGATGTTTCTACAGTAATTTCTCCACAGGAAAGCATTCTGAAACAAGACAATGATGGTTATACAGCAGTATAATGTAAAATCTCTCAGCTGCCAATCTCTGCTTTCTATCATTCAAATTTCCCTAAGCAGTTTTATTTGTTAAGATTTTGTATGGTACACAAGAGAGCAGATGGTTTACTAGGTAAGCATACTGCAAATAACATACAAGTAGAGAGCCAGTGTGTGTAAGTGGTTAAGAGTGCAGGACTGGGACTTAGGCAATCTGGGCTCTAGTTCCCACCTGGCCATGGAGCCAGCTGGGTGACTTTGGGCCAGTCACAGACTTTCAGCCCAACCTATCTCACAGGGTTGTTTTTGTGGAGGTAAGTTTGAGAGCAGAAGGAGAAGAATGATGTAAGCTGCTTTGAGTTTGTTACAGGGGGAAAAAGTGGGATATAAATCTAATAAATAAATAAAGTAGATCATTTGCAAATTAAAACACAAGCAGATGCATCTCAAACTGCTGTTACATTACTTTTTACTCATACTAGAATTCCCCCCCAAAATACAAAGCAAATACTTTGGATGTTTTTAGAGCCAGCTAAGTGGCATCCATGGTGAAGAATGCCTTCCACCACTGCTGCTTTCTACACAAGTGATGAACTCCTGGGTAGAGTTAATCTGGCAATTCATAGTTTGGCCAGCTTCCTGATTAGACTTCTGGCATAGATTGTACATGGGGTTACTTTTCAAGACCATTCAGAAGTTCAGTTAGTTCACAATGCAGCTGCCAGATTACTATCTGGGTCCGATCACTGAGAAATTATTTCACCCCTGCTTAAACAAGCTCCATGGCTCTGGGTGTTATCTCTGAGCAAAATGCAAAGTGCTGGTGCTTACCTTTAAAATCCTACACAGTATGGGGCCCAGGGACATGAGGGAATACTTCTGCTGTAACAATCCATTCATGTGCTGAGGGGTCACTCACAGAGGTCCCTTCCAGGTACACCCTTATCTGGGGAGATATAGGTGGCAACCAAGGTGGGCACCATCTCAGAGGTGGCACTCTTTCCAGGAGTGCACTCTTTGCTGCCTCTCCTGCTGGTTTTATCTGTTGTTTCTTGTGCATGGCTTTTAATACCACTATCACTGTCCTCAAAGCATAATATATTGAAGTAAGGGGAGTAAGATGTATTAAATAAATAGTAAACCTCTGAAAGAGCAGGGGATGGTATACAGCTAGTAATTCTCTTTCTAGGAAACCAACCTTTCCTCTTTCCAGGCTAAACTTTTGTTCATCAGATAGAAACTTTCATATTGGTGACACAATCAAATTCATAGAAATGATTACACCTCCTCTTTGGGTCTCTAGTAAAGAGAAAAACTGGTGCAAACACTCTCAGAAAGACGCCCTATTCTCCAGTTTCATATGTCAAACATCTCTGTATTCCTCAAGGGATAATTTTTTATTACCAGTGATCCTAATACCAGTTGACCTCTCCTATACAGGGAACTTTGCCTCATTCTTGATTGCTGCTACATCCTGTTTGTTCAAGTGCTCTCCATAAATTTCCTTTAACTGAACACTACTACTACCTTTCTACAAATTACTGACATCCTAAACCCAAACACATTTATTTGGAAACATCGCTTTGATTTCAGTAGAATGAGTTTCCAGCTAAGTGTAAGCCTATAGCATAAAAGCAGTCAGATTTATTTAGTCATTTGGTTAATCCTGGCAAGATATACAGTACAACTCCAAGCTTATCTACTCAGAAGTAAGTTGCACTGAGTTCTGTGGGACTTATTTCTAGATAAGTGAGTTCACAAATGCAGACTTAATCCTGGAAACCCACTCTGCCTTCTTGCAAAATAAAAGGTTTAGTCTTTCTCAGAGCTAAGGTAAAATCTTAGGTCTAAAATATGGGGCCATACAATGGAAAAACTGGCACACTCAGCTGAAAACTAACTAGATAAAACACATGGTAATTTAAAATTGTCTACATTCAACTGAGAAATGTTTGCAACATGCCTACCTCTTCCATTTTTGCAAGCAATACTACTGGGATGACAGCACAACACACATTCTGTTCCCTTCTGGGTCAGTATTTCATTTTGTTTGCTTTGGTCCAAATAGCTTTGGCAATAGCCAAAATATCCCGATAATCAGTTTGGTATGAAAAGCAGAGCTATTTCATCAGAGCCCCATGGAAATCTAAGAAATAATAAATGTAGATGTATCTCATTTCAGTTCATCCAAATCCTGTAACCTAAACCTCCAAGAGTTTTCAGCTTAAGTGCTGGTCCCTGCACCATTGGTTCACCATACCCCCAGACCTGTATCCATCCTGTGCGTTTGTGTTTGTGTACTTCCCCATACATGCACATGCACAGATTCAAACCAAAGGCACAGGATTCACTATTCAATAGGATAATTTAATTTAACCATCTTCTAGGATTAAGCCTTTGTTTTGAAGGCAGATCTTAGGCTATGCCCTGGTCAACTTTGACACAGATCAAGTCCTGCTATAATACTAAAAGAAGTAAATATATTTTATTTTAAATATTAGAAGTAAAACTCTAATATTTAAATAGTAAAACTTAACTCCCTTTGTGATACATGTCCAAAAACACAATTGAGTGGGTTCGATTGAAAATGATTAACAGGAAGCGAGTCTCCCTGAAGTAAATCCAACCTGCTGTTGTTTAATGTGAAGGGTCAGGGTGTTAGAAGAATTAGCTCCAAGCGCCAAGGCACCATCTTGACAAAGCCCTGTGAAATGAAGGAGGAATGTGCCAAAGCCACTGTTGATGGTCAACAATAACCTAAACTGTGAGCACCCCTAAATTTACAGTACAGTTATTGATACCTTAATTCTGCGGCACACAGCAAAACATGCCAAACTAATTCAGGAACTGGATCAAATCCAACGCACTCACCTCAGCATATTTTGCCACTGAGCTAGCTTCAACAGCATATACTTTTCTAGCTCCAGCTTGGACAGCAAAAAATGAAAGGATTCCTGATCCACATCCAACATCAAGGACTACCTAGAAACCAAAAGGCAGGGGATGGAGAAGTACATCATTGTACAAAGCTTTGCTTATATTTTATCAGTAGATTCAGAAAAAATAACACTACTGCTCCCAACTGATGCTGTCCATCATGTATACACTCTTGCATGAAGCATACTAACCGGAAAGAGCTTCTAACTGAAGTATATTTGCAAATATTTCTTCATTATATTTTCAAATTGAAGTCTTAGCATCAAATTCATATTGTATTTATATGGCATTATAGTGACATGAAAGCAAATAATAATGAATTGTTTTAATGAATGGATGAGTACTGTGTATCTTAGTTTACTTAACATGGTAAATGTGCAAATAAATGAGAACTGAGTCCTATAAAGTATTTCAGTGCTTTCTTTGCTATAGTATTATTTACCAGAAGCATTAGCAAAGTTGTGGAAGAAGAGCCTGGACAAATATCTTAGGATTATTGGTTTGCTCCCTTAAGGACCAAGAGATTATTTTCAAAGCACTCCCTAGCCTTGAGGTGCAATGCAACCACAATTACAATGCTCTTGTCCCCTAATGCACCATGGTTAAGGAAGACAAGTTTTGAAAGCACTGTTTTTTTCCTGAAAAATAAGGAAAACAAAGAATCTTGCATCAAGAATTGAATTAAACACACACACACACACACACACACACACACACTGCAGCTATTGATGTAGCTGCTTGTATTAATTTTACCAAAGAGAGCAACTACTGCCTTTAAATTAGGCAACATTAATCACTTTCACTCCCACCTTGGAGGCAATGCTGGACTTTATTATGGGGATACCAGAAATGCCCACTCACAAGATATGCTTGTTAACATATTTGTTGCTGAAATGGGTTTTAACTCTCTTCAGTTTTTTTATATCTTATTGTTGTGTTTATAAATGATTTGATTTAATGCTATGTTTTAACTGAGATTTTTTAAAAGAAGTATTTGATATTTTATAATTGGCATTTTAGCCACCATGAATTCCATTTTCAGAGGAAAGGTGGGATATACATTTAACTGATAAATCCATATAAACCTGTGAATGCTTAGTTATCTTTTCCCCTCTTTTGCAACCTCAACAAAGTAACTCATATCCACCTACGCAGCAGCATCTCATGTAACTCATCTCATTTCTTTTCCTAGAAAGATTGGTGTAGTAGCACTTGAAGTGCTGAAGATGTTCATGCACTGACCAAATCTTTCCTGCCCTTCCTTTTCCCTTCAACTATGAGTCATACTATGTAATACATAGTATGTTAAATGTGCAGCATGTAACTAATGATAAGTTAGGTTTAACTCTTCCCTTATCCAACTACTTCTTTTCCAAAATCTGCCTCTTGTAGGAACTAAAGGGGGGACCTCCGTTGTTACCAGTGAGCCCTGTGAATGGGATGTGGAGGTGTGTGTGTGGAGGGGGAGGGTGGAAAACAAGCAGCTGAGGTGAAGACAGTTTTAAACTTCCTCGTCTTTCACACAGTGGTTCTAATCCATATTGGAAACCCACATAGTTACTCATGAGTAAGAAAGAAAGTCAGCTGAACCATATTCAGCGCATGGGCTGAGAGCAGGCGCAGAGAACAGCCAAGTTACAAACACATTACCATTCTGACAAATGTTTGTCAGAGATGATCCCTGAAGTAACCTGAAGTAATGTTGCTGTTGTATTTGCTCTGCCTCACCCTCTCTTGATTTGATATTGCTGCAGGTTTGGTTTTATGCCATTACTTTTACATAATTATATCAATGGTTATGTTTTGGTATGATCGTTATTAACCTCCCTGATGTTCTCTTGGGGGTGTGGACAGTAGGGCAGGTTTCCAAAACCCAATGCTGCCCAGATGTGTCGGACTAAAAATTAGCTTTGGGAGGGCCACACAGGAGGGGATGGAAGATTAACTTGGTGGCCAAACCCAGCCTCTAGAACCATCAGTTCATCATCTTTGTTCCGCATTTTGAGAAAATAAAGGAGTATGGTAGCAAGCAAAAAGAAATCTTATCTGTAATGGAGCTCTCCCTGGTAAATATCTTACCAAATGGGTCACCTATTCCTAATCTAGATGAAATCTTCATGACATAAAAGAGAAAGCTATAAAACAAAAGTATTTCAGTGCATGCCATTTCATTAAGCCAAAGTGTTTTTGGTTGACTTGAAAATGCATTTCTTGTATTTTACTTGACAACAATTAACTTTGTCAAAATACACTTTTCCAAACAAAGTTAAATTTGTTCTAATACAAGCATGGTAAATTAAATTTATAGCATAATAGTTTTAGAAAGCAGCTAGAGTACAATATGCCACTTCTTAAATTCCTTAATGGATACAGTTAATGAATACTACTTTTTGCTGTAACTAACTAATGTACATTCCCTGCCCCATGTTTTCAGAAAGCCACTTACCCTTACGCATCCAAATAAAAAAAGGCATCATACTATGTAAAATGATAAATACCACAAGACACTTAGCCCAGAAAAATGCATAGCCTCAATTTGGAAAATCTTGAGTTGAACATCATAGTGTTCCCAGTGTTGTCTCCCATAAATTTTGACAGCAGTATGGCGTTAACATCCCTGTTCTTAAAAACAGTCATTCTGTTTTTTCAAGACTGAGAAATGCGAGAGATAGAAAACTAATATTACCCAAGAAACCATGCACTACCTAGTCCTCTAATGAAGTAAGTCCAACTGCATGGAATCAGTTGATATTTTTTTTACAGAGATTTAGTGAATGCTTGGGTTGCAAAACCTGCTATTTTATATAGTCTGAAATTAAACCCTTATACCAAATAATATCCAAGTTCATTTTCAATAACAACTATGGAATTGAATTAGGCTCTTTTTTCATTTCAGTGGTGGCAAACTGTTAGAAGTAACTTTCTCCAGCATATGGTTTTACCCAGGTATCATTGGCCCACAGCGTGTGCCTCAAAGAGCCAAACCTACAAAGCAGCTATGGCAGCACATGCTGATTAAAAGCAAGCAAGCAAGCAAGCAAGCTCCTTAGCAAAATCATGAAATGTACAACTATGACCTTAGAGTTGGTTCAGCAGGCCCCTACTCTTGCTATACATTTAAGGGGCAGGATTCATACTTGGTCAGAGTAAAACCATGGGCATCAATGGGACATGTTATGCCTACCTTAAATCCCACTGCTTTCAAGGCTGGCAATGCCCAGGACCACCCCTCCCTCTTTTTTCATTACACCATTTTCTTTTCCTCTCAGCCAAGCAGGTTACATTGAGACAGGCTGTTCTTACCAGAGCTCTGATCACTTACAGAGTGCTTCTGAAATCAAGGCAATGGCTACATGAAATTAGGCAGACAGCTGCATGCAGCCCTAGAACTTGCAGTTTGCCCACCCCTGAGTTAGTCCAATATTCTCATCCCAACAGTGGTCAGTTAGTTACTTTCAGAAAGCCTGCAAGTGGGGCATGGAGGCAACTACCCTCTCTGGTATTTGTCCCCAGTAATTGGTATTCAGAGGTAGGCTACCCATCAACAGATCCCATCCCCTGAATAGTGTCTAATCTCTTTTCAAAGCTAGTCAGCTCTTTGGTCATCAGCAAATCTTGTGGCAGCTAATAGTGTTGCATGGGAAAATCCTGCTGCCAGTTTCACCAGGCAATCCCATATTTTGGAAATATATATTAATCTATGTCTGTGCATGTGTCGGGGAGAGAGAGAAAGAAAGAAAGAAAGAGAGCTTGCATACTTTCTCCAAACTATTCCTGATTTTACAAAGTATGTATCCTAGTCCCTCTCCACAAACTCCTTAGTTGTCCATTTTATCATTGTTGTTGTTGCTAGTTGCGAAGTCGTGTTCGACCCATCACGACCCCATGGACAACATTCCTCCAGGCCTTCCTGTCCTCCACCGTCCCCCGGAGTCCACTCCAGCTCACGCCGACTGCTTCAGTGACTCCGTCTAGCCAGCCATCATTAAGACATGCCAAATGTTTTAAGCTATCTATTCCTTGGCAAAATAATAGTAATAAAAAATCAATTCCTTCCTAATTTGAGGCATTCTTTTGCACTCTTCTTTTTAAACTCTCTGGTATCTTTCTTTGAGATGGGTTGACCAGAATAGCAACCAGTATTGCAAATGTACTCCTTTTACTGAATTATATAAAGCATTCAGGGTGTGTCAAGATGGAGGGTACCTTGCACTATGAATGAGCAGACACAGTGCAGCAATGCCATTTTTTCTTTCCCTTATGTACAGCACTATAGTGCATGAAAGCACTCTACAGTACTAGCCATTGCCTATTTCAGTTTCCTTCCTAAAAATCCCTAAGGTGGAATTTGCTTTATTACCACCACACACAGAGCTGCTGTTTACACTGAACATCATGCCAGGTTGTGCCCATGAGGAGTGAGGATGGGCCATCCTGCCTTGCACATTCTGGCTATCTGGCTACAAGGCTGTGGCTCTCCTGCCACCCCTTGGCCCCACCTAGCTGGACCTTCTACAACCTTTCAGTGAGGTGTCCACAGGCAGAGAAGACTTGAAGAGCAGCTTTAGTCTGGTGGCACTGTGCATGTGTTGACTGCAGAAGACTCCCTGATTCCATACTTGATGTTTTGTGTTAAAATGAACTGTGACAGGGAGATTGAGAAAACTCCAGGATCTTAGGAAAATCTCAAGAAGCAACCGGAAGTCAGAGCAGACAGTTTTGGTCCAGATGGCTGAATGGCTGAACTCCATAGCCCTCTCTAGGTGTTCTCCCTCCTGTCTTGAATGAATGTATAAGGATAGGAGCATGCTCTCCTTAGCCCTCTCTGGCACTGCAAACATCGCCTTGTGCTCATGGAGAGTAATGACCTGAATGGGAGAATTTCCTGTCTCCAGGGAGGCTCTCCACATAATTGTGATCCCTAGAAAACTATGGAACCCTGGAAAAATCCTAACTCAGCAGAGGAAGAATGCCCAAGGAAGAATACTGTTACGCCTGTATGACAAGTAATGACAGGACTCAAGCAGATGGGCAATGCCAATATTTAGAACTGGGCTACCAGACACCTAACAGAGCTTACCTTATCTTTAAAATCTATATGGTTCTGTAGTATTGCTCTGTGATATGTGGCCGTCCTCACAAAATCCTGCATCATATTCTGTTGTTGAGATAAGCATCCATAAAACTAAAAGGAAATAAGGAGAAGGGGGAAAACAGAGGGGGAAAACATATAAAAATTTGTCCTGTACTACTTGCCTGTTGTACTTCACACATTAAGGGTGCAATTCTGCACATGCTTAGACAGAAGAAAGTCACACAACTTCCAGTATGCCCCAGCCTGTCATACTGAAAGTTGTGGGACTTTCATTCTGTCTAATCATACCTAGGATTGTGCCCTAAAGGTAAAGTCCTACAGAAGCCCAAGTTGCCTGGATCAGGAAGCACCGTAAAAGGGGAAAATATTGAATTTACCTCAAGTAGGGTTAAGATGCAATGACCTCTACCTGAAAATATTGAGCTGCCGAGGATTCTTCTGTTCTCTGACTGAACACAGAGTGCTCTTTATGCTGATTCCTACAGTTCTTCAGTGCATTTGAAAATGTGCTATACTCTGAAACAGAAAAGATGAGGCAATTAAACACACAAGCAAGCAATACATGACATACAGAAATTTCTAGGTTTTCTAGGTTTTCCTAGTTTCCTGGACAAAATTGTGTCTGCTATATGAAACTGTGCCTGCTTATCTATTAAGGTAAGCCGTATCAGTGCCAGATTGTCAAATAGCCTGCAAAGTAAGCCAGGCAACTGAGTTATGACTGAATTGCTCTCTATCATCTATAAAATGTAACACGACATTTTGCTAATGTAAATGTGTGAAAAGCTAACCATGAATTAAATTCTATGCTCTGTTCTTTTCTTTCAAAGAGATCAATGCATTAGAGTGATTCTGCTCCCATGGATAGCACAGCTGCGTGCCTCTTCTCTTATTAAAAATAGCCCTTTTCAATTTAACTCTCGAATCACTTCAAATGTAATAGAGAAAAACAGGTGTTTCATTAATTATCATTAACATCTTTTTAGTTAGTCTGAACAGGGTTTATGTACTGCTTTATGTCGCACAGTAACAGTTTCATCGAGATTAGGACTCAGTTCATCTGTTAGTCCACAGTAATCTTAAAATGATGTCATGCCATCGACATTACTGAGTCAGCTCATTTTTGCAGGACCTTTGCAATACCGTCTCTCAGCAATTGTCCAATCTGCAGCCATGAAGGATTCCCACCTGCCTCCACCCTAGAAAAGTGTTCCAGTGTCCTTATGAGGACGCAACACTGTTCCATCTGCTCAAGGCTGATTGGGCATCCCAGCTTCCTCCACAAAGCACTTGTTCCAGCTGAGAGAAAAAAGTTCAAATCATCACCAGGGACCAAGGGATCTGCCAGTTACAGTTTATCATTTTTCCAACCAGCCTCAAGTTTGGTTCATCCTGATCTTTAAGAAGTTCTCCAGTCTTTAATTTGGTTTGTTACAAACTTTGAAAATTTTGCTAATATTCGTGTAAACTTTCAGAACCATTCTTGTATACATGTCTCTCAAAACACATATCTTTGTATGCATTTTAGTCCAACATACAAATGATTTGTATGCAAGTGTCTCCATATAATGTATACCTAAGCATTATATTATCTAATATATCCATTCCTGGATTGGAGAATTCTATTGCAAAATTCAGAACAAATTTTGAAGGACAACTGTTTAAGCTTGCATAGTGGTTCAAATGTGTAAAACCGGGCAAGTTCACACTACAATGTCAAGTGAATAAATTTTTCCGCCATCCCTAGCTGGTCTCTGACCCTTCTGTCTCTCAGTATTTTGGCCTCACCTACTGTCTTATGGAGGAAATGCAGCTCTGATTGAGAAATGAGTATTAAGAGTCTTTGCAATGCTATTTTTATTCCCCTTACATTCTTAGAGAGTTTGAAGAACAGACCAGAAAAGTGCTATGGATGGACATCTTTTGCACGTTGAAAAGGATTGCCACAAATGAGAACAGAATCAAACTTTATCATGACGTACTTTTCAGATGAGTATTTTTCCAGTCAAAGTACAAGGACATAGGTTTGCAGTAATTTTAGCCCTCCATTTCCCTAAAATTGATTAATTAAGTAACCTAAACAAGGTATGTTAGAGTCACTGGTTTTCTTAACCATCAAATTATGTAGTCAATGACATATGAATCAAATTTGCCTAGCTCTCTATTGTTACCAATAACTCGATGTGGTAGGGGTGCAATCCTGCACATGAGCTCCTGAACTCAGAGTGGGATGAGTGTCAGAGACCATTTTTGCCATCCTGTCTGTCCTGCAATTTTCACTCACCTGGGGAGGGAAGGAGTCTGGAATAGTTGCAGGATAGATTATATCCTGGCTGCTCCAGGGTCCTCCTCTTCCTTCAATTACCCCTTTCTTCAATCCTCCAAGATCACTTTCCCAAACTTGGGGAGCAGCTGGTGCAGCTCTTTCCATGCCAAGTATGAGGGGGCACTGACCAATCTCCATTTCCCAGTTCTGAGGTTAGAGAGCTGTCTCTGACCTTGGACCTGGGAATCTGAACAATCCTGTGACCCCTCAGATGCTATCTAGGAACCACAAGATTGTGTGCTAAATGAAATTTTATTCTCTGTCTGTTGTGCAAACTCTTGGGGCATTTCAGGTGGGGTGCAGAATCTCAGGCCTGCAAGCCAAATCTGGTCCAATTGGGGTTCCCAGAAAAGCACATCCCCATTCTCTGACTTTGTATCATTTGATGGTTTCCCAGCATTTGCATATTTTCCCCCATTCTAAAAGTGCCTCTCCTAAAACTTGGTTAGAGAAAGTATGAGCCTTATACTAAAATATGCTGGTATTTTGGAGGCTTGGCCTGCCTCCTTCACCCTTACCACCCACCACTGGAATGCTGTCACAAAGAGCTTTTCCAAAATTGACATAGGCCTGTGGGTTGAAAGAGGTTCAAAATGTCTAATCTAGCATGGGCCCACAAATGGTGGCAAATGGAAATCTCTTCCTGGAAACTAACTGCCTGTGGATGTCCGGTGTTCAAGACAGAGATCATCCCTATCGCTGAGTTCTCAGCCCACAGCATGAATTGGGAAAGTGGTAGCTCTCATCAAGCCAATCAGGAGGAAGAAAGATCCTGATCTTGTCCTGAGTTCTCTGAATGTTCCAGTCACACTCAATTCATTTTGAGCTCTGGAAATACTACAGTAGCAAAAATCTGCTCCTGGGTGTCTCCAAACCTTGCCCTCTCCTGAGTTCCACAGAAGGAATCTACTTTGAATCAAGACTTGAAGACAGCCACTTTCATTGCCTCTGACCCTTCCTAATACCTGCCATAAGTCATTCATAGAACTCAGGACAAGGCGTGGGCTCCCAGCAACAAAAAGAAGTGATTCACTACCATGGCCAGCCAAAATCTGTAGCCTCCTATTTGCACATTTATATTTGTTTGCAGAGTCAATATAGACATACAACACAGAAATTAATGCCAGCCTTTCTGAAGCCAATGCCAAGAGAAAAATCATCATAATGTTCCAGCTAAGTGCTGCTAGGTTGACAAGTAGACTGAAAGCAGGTGGGCTACACATTTGTTGGTTGAACTGTTTCAAATAGATGCCCATTGTGTGCAAAAGACAAGCCCTTCTATAAGAGACACATTTTCAGTCAATTTTATGGCCTTCCTGATGCTATTCAGATGTTGCACACATGTTCTGCAGGAAGCTGAGAATATGGACTATGATTTACTGCTGTCTAAATGGTGGAAGCACGAAGAACTAGTATATCAGTCTTCTGCATGAATTTGGGATATGCAAACATTTGTTACCACAGAGGAAGATAAAACAGGAGTTTAAATCATCATAGCTCTCAAGCCATGTGCAATGATACAATTCCTAGATAAACATATACTCCATTATAAACAATTAAACCTTTCTTTTTGCAGATGCCTCTTCATAACTTATAAATCTAAACTACCTAAAATCGTAAGCAGTTTGAACATAGGCTTAGATTGCAGGTATGAGCCAGTTTGAATAATACACTAATTGTGCTGATGGTTGTTGTTGTTGATAGTAAATGCATAACACTCTATTTTCTAAAAATGAAGATAATCCATAGGAGGAAATAATGTAGTTTGGAAAAGATATGTAACCCTTTTTCTATAGCCTATTTTCCAAGTGAAAGTCACTCCTAAAGCAGTGGGGATAAAATGAAACTGTCCACCAGTATTTTTGCTCACAGGTGAAAAAGCAGCTTGGGGAGGGCATTACAGATTAGGAAAACTGTTCATGGGTAAAGGGTGAAACACCAATTCTTGAGTCTATTCCTCATTTGAAAAAACCTGAGGCACAGTTATTCACATCTGCTGTGTAACATTCAACTTGGTCCTCATACCAAAGTGCATTTTAGCACTGGAGCATGTTATATTTGTGAAAGGGACATGCATCTAACTGTAGATGGATTCTCTTTATAGAGAACATTGTTACTAAGATTGTTCCATAAAATAAGTGAAAGCCATAAAGCTTTTATTAGACAAAACTGTTTGTATCAAGGGCAGCTAGCAAATGCTATCCAGTGCACAGATGAAGAGGTAGACATCTTGGTATTCCCAGAGGACTGGGACTACAACTCCGACCTGACCATTGGCCATGTTGACTGGGATTTATAAGATTTTTAATTTAATTTAAAACATCTAGAGGGCATCACATGGCCCATTGCATCCTACATATGCAAGCATAATAGAACCTCCACCTCAGCATTGCACTGTATCCACCTTCCTCCTAAATGGAGAGCAACCAACCATCACACCCAAGCAAGACCTTCTGTTCACCACTCCGTGTGTTCCACTTCTTATCCACTCTGTGACCCAACATTTGGAGGTTCCTGAGCATCATCAATGCTCACTGGGCATTTGTGGGCATTTTGTGCTTTAACTGTTTTTCCCCTTTTCTAACTTCCTTCTACTTCTTCAAACCTTGGGGTTCTCCTGAACACAGTATCTCCTTGTTTGTCAGTGGCACTCCTTTGGCTAAATCCTGCTGGGACTCACCACATGAGGTTGCCCAGCAACAGAATATCATCAAATATATTTGCATCTGACCTTCAGACATGGATGTTTGCCTATGAGGGGGACAGCTGATCATGAGCAGGGCAATATCATAAGAATCACAAGATTGGAGTGTATTAAGCTGCTGTTTTAACAAATAGAATTATGGGGTGAAAATGGTTCAAACACAGATACTAATCACTTACCAGAATGTGACCTGAATTGAAGTAAGGCGCTGTTGTAACCAAGTGTTATCAAAACGGATTCTTTTCCCACACGACAGTATTCAGTATCTTTGTTAACTAAGCATTTAAACACACAAACCCCATCAGCTGTAGGGAGAAAATTTTAATTTTTAGTACATTTATTAAATTTTAATTTTTAGTACATTTATTATTAAAAACAAAAGATAAGCATACATATTTTTATCAATGTGAGTAAACTATCTGGAAGCTGCAGTACTGCATGCCATTTTAACCTTAGATGTTCTCCTCAAATGACATTGAACTGTTTCATGTACTGTGACATAGTTTAGCACAAAGTGCATAAATTGGAACAAGCCCAATCAAAAGCTTCAGGCTTGTATTTTCCCTGTCTGCCTCCCAAAAGGCCTGGAGCAGCTTTATAATCCATGGGCTGAAGTAGAATATGTTTACAAAAGGGGTGGGCAAGTTCAGGAAGCCAGACGGTTAATCTCCCCAGGCAACAGCTCCCCATAATTGGCCACTGTTTGGTGTGGAACCTGGATTTTATTTTTTTTTAAGAATTTGCCCCAGAACAATCATCGAAAGCCAAAAAGATCAAATGTAGCTTATTTGCTGCAGAGCTTTATTGGTGTCATATTTAGTTTATACACTGCTCAGTTTTAACTTTTTGGCTAATCACAGTGCTCTGGATCAATGGTTTTCAACCACCACTCCGTAGACCGGTGCCGGTCTGCAGGAGCTTTCCTACTGTTCCACAGGGGACTGTGTCCCGCTGGCCGTGGACTGGCGTGGGGCTAGCTGTGCTCCACCACCTCTTCCTCAGTTGGCATCACATTTACGGGGGGTGCCCTGGTGCCACCATGGGGGCTAGGGAGGGTAGAGATGGCTCGATGGGAGATGGCTGGGAGCCATGCTACGCTGATTTCAGTGCTTTGTTCTTTTGTTGGCATTTTCTGATGCTTGGTTTCTGGTTGTTTTGGAGAATTTTCCCTTCCCTTCCCTTTCGGTATTGTGTTTGGAAACTAATATACAGAATACTGTATTATGTGTATGGCGCTTTTTGTTTCTGGCTCAGTGGACCCTTACATGGCTTTCCTGTTTTCGCCAGTCCCCAGCTGTGGAAAGGTTGGAAATCACTGCTCTAGATTACTATTTTGATTTTTTAAAAACTTTCTTTTATAGGGTGTGATAAGAGTTGCATGTACCCCCCCCCCCCCAGCTACCTATTGCCCATTTTCGGTTTACAAACCACAAAAACAACAAACCAAGATTCATGGAAAGTGAAACTAAAATGAAGCCCTCTTCCTCCTCATTATCCAACGCCCCCCCCCCCGCCACACACACACGCCATCCCATTCCTTTGCCCTTCCAAGCAGATCAACATGAAAGGCTGCTAATCACAAACATTTGGGGGGTAAAGTGGGCCAGCCAAACTAGCTTGGTGATACGGCAGGAGTACTGCAGAGGTCATTCACAAAAGATAATATGTCTAGTTAATAAGAGAGAGAAAGTATAACTCAAGACAAGAATTTCAATCCAAACTGAATCCTTCTCCTCCCTTTCCAACCAAATGGAGTTTGTTTCACCCTCATGGAGGTTTCTGCTGTTTGTAGGCCAGATTGTAGGAACACCGGATGTCAAATGACCAGCTCACTTGAGCTTTCATGGGATGACTGGACCTATTAAATTATATCCCACTCCTCTTGCCCCCTCTATTCAACACTGTCTCATCCCAAAGGAATGTGGTCTGGTTCGTACTGCCTGGCTTATCTCGGGGCTCGTCAGCCTTGGTATTTCAGCCAAGAATTCTGACCCCTCCTTTTATCCACTTCAGATTCAGAATCTGATGAAACCAATCTAGAATGCTGCATTCTGGGAGAAGTTGGCCCTCTCCTCATGCCTTCCAACTCTGCAAAAACAAGGTTTCACACAGGTTCATTCCAGCTTGAAACACTGAACCATGGTTTGGTATTGCCAGAGAAACACTTCATTGTGTTATATGCCTGTTTTCATGTCCTTACAAAATGGCTCCGTCTTTATTTTATCATGTTTGAAATGCCAGAATCCTGCTGTATAAGGGCTAATATAGGATGAGCTGTAACCAAAAGTCCCCTGGTTCAAATGCCACCTCTGCTAAGCATCTTCCAGATGCCTTTGTATCAATAAGGTGTTTAACCAGCAGTAACAACAAGGTAGAGTTTGAAGATTGAACAGGAAATGAGGAGGAGGCAAGGAGGCAAGCAGAAAACAATAGGCTCTGAACAAAGCTGCCTGTTTATAAGAGGTTGGCAGATGATCCTTGGAATGCTTTGCAGAGTCACATGAAACACCCTTAGGTATGGTGACTCTTTCTATCTCACGCTTTCCATCTGGAATATAGGGATTAGTTAAATAGTATTTGTGAAGCATGTTGAACATGGCACTAAATAAATGCTAATTTTATAATATCAACACATTTAAGATATACTGTATTTCCTGGACCAGCTCCAGATTTGCTGGGGTCCTCAGTAAGGATCCTACTGGGGGACCCATGTGGCAAGTTTATCTGATGGTGAATGGGAAATGGTGGCAGTAGCAACAGTGTTTGAATGAGGGCCAAGTGGCTCCCAGTTGGGGGCAGTGCAAGACGAAGAAGGTGGGTCCCTCCCCTTATCCTGTGGAATCCCAGAATCAAAATGTTTAAATGAAGGCCCAGAATATGCATGAAGGAGGGGTCCTTGAAGCTGCTTGAAGGTATTATGGGCTGATTAATGGCATGCTCATAGCCTGGAAAAGATATATCAGGAAGAATAAGGAGTGAGTGTGAGCAGTTCATTCTGTTTCTGTTACTTGAGGCTAACTGTATGGAATTTAGTAATAAGCACTATAGAATTCGGCAATAACCAGCTTTGTATGTTCACTCTAGGGTTTCTTTATCTCTGCAAGGCAGCTCTTCTCAAAGTGTAAATAGCCTGTGCTCTGTCTGTGTTTTGCTTGGATTTGTCTGTCTGTCTGGTTTTGATGTGGTAGGTCTATTAGATGACTTCTTTGCTTGCACTGGTGTGTGCGTGTGTGTGTGTTATTCTATGACTATCACCAGTTTGTTTTCTGTGAAAAGGAGGCTGAAGCAGTCAATTAGGCAAAGTGGTTTTATGTTTTAGAAATCAGACCACCTTTATCCTGCACTTTGGCATGTTTCCGGTTCTTTACTCGTTTGCCTTTGGAAAATGGTGCTATGGACCTCCTCCTCTAAGAAGCAGCTAAAACTCGCAGAGACAGACAATGCCAGGAAGTCACCATGTCAAGAGTTGTGCAGATCCATCTGCAGAAGTGAAGGGAGTTCCTAGTTCCTGAGAGCAGTGGTGCCTCAAGAAGTGGGCCAGTAGGGCTCTCTTGCGAAGCAGTGCCCTCAAGTATAAAAGAGGGCTCCTCAAGAGCAAGGTCTCCCTTCCTTAAGCTCTTACGTCTAGCAGAGAGCCTGCAAAACACTGCAATTGAGCCCCAGTTGGGGCCCAGGAAGCTCGTGGAAGCCTCCAGTTCCAGACCAGCTGCTGCCTTACCTCTTGTTTTTCTGACCTTGCCTCATGACTGAATCTTTGTGCTACTAACTCTTGCAGTCCTACCTGCCTCTGCTTCTGGGTTAGCATATTATATCCAACTCCTTTGACCTTGGCTGTGTTTCAGCACTCTCTTCTGAAATCACCTACTTGCCTGGTGATACTATGCTTTGAACACCACCTGTATCTTGACCACACCTGTGTTCAACCATGTCCCATACAAATGGGTGTTTTGTCACTATCAGTCAAGCACTTTCACCCAGATGATTCTCTCCCTGCCACTTGCAGACATGAAAGGTTTCCCTTTGCTTCACATGACCGGGGTAGAAGGAAAATCAGCTGAGCAGTAGTGATGCTTTCCACAACACCACCCAGTTGGTTTCCCCCACTCCAGCCTAAGCATGGTACGGGGATCCCCCTTCCTGCTCCTCAGTCTCCTCTGGAGCAGGAGGCAAAGGTGCCTTATTAGCTTCCCCATCTTCTCTGCTGTGCTTTGGGACATGAGCCAAGTTTATGTTGTAGAGACTGCTTGACAGGTAGCCTCATTTCTCCCTGCAGTGTCTCCTGGGATACCACCTGAGGACTGAGAGGGAAGGAAAAGGTGGCAAGGAGGAGACTTAGCACCCTGATGCTGGCTGACTGTTAGGCCTATCAAGGTAAACAACTGAGAATTGTGATGACCATGCAGAGTTCCTTGTTGTGACGTGTGAACCTAGCCAGAGAGGATATAATATATAAGCATTTTTGTAGAAACAATCATGGAACGAAGAGGTACCCGCTTCTCATCTAGGCAGGGCTATATACTGAAGGTGGATCTAACAACAGGAAATTGTATCACATTCCATATGTTATTTCCCTGCCACAAACCAGAGAAAAGACATATCAAAATAATATGAGCTGTAACCTAATAACCACACCTCAAAAATCCTCTTCCCACAAGAGCCCTCCTAAAACACATGGACAACAATTCCTTCAACATATAAATGAAGTTAACATTCCTGACATGCCAAGTTTCTTTATGCCTGACAGAGGAATATTCCCCCTGCATTCCATCATAACACAATTCAACCACGGCAATAATTTTTCCATTAAGCAGAAACATGCAGAATTAAACTCCTTAATTAGTTTCTTTTAAAAGAAATCACTAAGATTTCCTCCCTTTGTCATTTTTTGACACGCCATTATAAGAGTTCCAGTTCTTTATGCCATACCATGAGAAATGCCTAATCTGAAACATGATCATATAACTGCTTTTTGTATAAATTGCTTTACCTTCTACCTGGCACTTCCTTGATAACAGCACTATTTGTTCACCTGCAATACATTTGTTTTAATCCTTGTTGCAACACGAAACTGCTGTTTTTCAAGGGAATGAAACAAAAATGGGAATAGGTTTCCTCCCCAGATTTCAAAGCGTACACATCAAAGTAAGGAGCTCATTCAAAGGATCCTGCAATGGTGATTTACTGGGCAATCCTATGCATCCTGTGAATATCTAAATCCCATTGATTTCAGTACATGCAACTTCCCGATAAATGTGTACATGTAGGACTGCAGCCATAGCTCCACGGAACAACATGACAAGCCATG